GACACAGAACAGGAGCTGCACCATGATGCGTTTCTGTGAGCATGGCAAATAGGCTGAGAGCTGGAGCATGTCTCTGGCAGCAGGATATTAAGTGTCAGATCCTAAGCCTTGCTCTTCTGTACCAGGGCAAGCTTTGCCTTAGATGTAACGTCAGCAACTTGATAACATGTTATATGAGGACTTTCCAAAACTACAGATGATGAAACATCTCTCTATGAAAGGGATCCTAAGACTTGCAAATATATAGGCTTTCTGTTGTCAAATACTTAATGCTTATATTATAAAAGGTTGAAGTTATGTATAATGAATTTATATTGATTTCCCTTTGTAAAGAATTAAAACCCATGGAAGCTAACGGAAGCATATTAAATCCAGAATGATTCTGCAGGCCATTAGAGTAAAAGCTAGTCAGGCAATCAACAGTGTTTTCAATATAGTATCTAGAAAAACGTAAGTGCTGTTGTGCTGCATCGGATGGAGAGGAGGTATTAGAACTGCAGGCAGTTGTGTACAAGACCGTCTATGCTGCAAGAAAATGTTAGCCAAAGTTTTTGTGGTTTTGTTTGTTTTTTTAAATTTAGTTCTTCCTAAAAATTTAATAACATAGTTTCAACACTGCTTTCCTGGGTAGTTTAAACCAAGCTTATCTGGGCAATATTATATCCTAAAGAATTTATTTTGGGCTATAGATCATATATTGGTTAAAAGAGGAAGAAGTGGATCAAAACAAGTTAGAAACCGAATGAAAGCATTTGAGAGTTCATTGATGTGGACAAAGGTTGGAGCAAGGCAGCAGTCCTAGTGCATGTTTAAAAATTGGACCGTTGGTCTTCAGTATTTGTATTTCCATAATAGTTAATACTTTGCCAGATATCTCCAAACAAAAGAAATGAGGATCAAGGAAATGATACTAAAGTTTTGCCGTTCAGTTAGTGGCCCTTGCAGTACTGCAGATACTGTACATCATCTCTGGCACAAAGCCAGTTTGGCTATCAGCAGATCCAACTTTAGTGGAGTTTTCTTTTAAATCAGTTTTATCTCATCCATTTCATCTTGACTTTTATGTTTTAGAACAAGTTACTCAATCTTTAACTTCCTCAGGATTCTTTTGGATCAAAGGAAAAATGTTATGCATTGCAGGTTCTGAGCCTGGAGGTAGATATGAGAGAAGTTCAAATAAACATTAGTCTCTAGAACTTGAATTAATACCTTAAAGAGTGCTTGACTGGATTCTCTGACTTCTGACGGAGACCTGAGACAGGTTTAGTTTCAGACCTCCAATGCATAAACAATACTGGTTGCATTTTTGCAGACCAGGTGGACTGTCTGGTTCAATGTCCTACTCAGGCGGTAGCCCATGGAAGATTCTGTGGGAAGAGCGTTAGGTGATGTTATGGAATGGTGATACTTCCCCAGGACTCTCTGGGACTCAGTGATTTTCTGGCCAGGAGGTGGTATCTTTGTGTATAAATAGTGTTAGTGGCTCTTGCTTCTGTAGGTTTGTCTAATGATTTTTGAACCCCTGTAAATTTTTGGCGTCCTTAGCTTCCCGTAGGAAGAAGGCATCCACAGTTTAATTATGTGTTATGAGAAAAACTACCTGCTTTTATTCATTTTAATCTGCCTACCTTATGACTTTATTTAGTTTTTCCTGTCTTGTATCATGAGAGGTAATTGTTCCCTATTCTCTTTCTCCTTGAAGCTCATGATTTTATAGATATTTTTCGTATTTCCTTTCAGTTGTCCTTTTTCCGAGCTGAAGAGTCCTTATTTGTTTAGTCATTCCTCAATATATAAGCTGTTTCATACCTTTGATCATCTCTACAGCATTTCTCTGTACTTTTTCCAGTTCTACTGTATGCTTTCTGAGAAGGGAGGAGGGACAGGGTTTAGAAATATCCTCAGTATGCAAGAGATGGATGCAATTTTGGTTTATATGGTAGCATAGTAGTGTTCTTGGTTTTGTTGCCTATGCCTTCCCTAACAATTCCTAACATTGAGTTTGCTTTTTGAGAGTATTTTAGTGATGTTTTCATAGAAAAATTATTATAGCTGTAAGGTCTCCTTCCTGAATAGAAATAACAAGTTCAAAGTCCATCGATGTGTAAAACTAGGATTGTGTTTCCCTGGGTACATGTCTTTGTAGTTACTAAATCGAATGTCATCTACCAATTTAATGTCTGATCATTCAGTAATGTGATGGTTTTTTTCACGCTTCTCAGTAACTTTCAGTTTTTTAGCGACAGACTTCTTTTTACTTCACTTTTTTTTTTTTTTTCTCCTCGTATCACTTATGTTTTGAACAGCAGAGACCATAGCACAGATTCTTGTGGGACCCCAGTGGTAATTTTCTTTCTATTGTGGAAAATGTCCATTTATTCTAGCTCTGGTTTCATGTATTTTAACTAGTTATGAAATCCATGAGAAGTAAGCCCTTTATCTCATTTTATTAGAAGCATTTTGAATGAACTTGCCAAATTTTCTCAACTGAGAAACTGCTGGTGTGAAAATGTTACTCTAGGCAAATGGACAAATTATTGTTAGTTTGAAACAGAGGTATTGATCATAATCTTTCAGTAGTAGTGATGAGGAAGTAATGAGGCTCTTTACTAAGCACTAACATGACTTTGATGGAGCTTTTGAATGCTTTTCAGCTTTATATCTGGTGCAGTTAATGCTTTTTTCAAGGGCTGGTCTGCAGTAACCCCAGCTATCTTCCAGAGGGTGCATTGCAATCCCAGCATAGTTCGTTGTGTTTTTCAGCTGTCATGACCTGGTGTTACTGGGGAGGGTAACAGAGACTCCAGCTGCTTCTCACAAGAGAGAAGTCCAATGAGCTTTAACATCAGAATGGATGGTGGAGTCTGTATCCATGCAGTGGAAGGAGCAGATACTAGCCTTGGGATGGGAGCTGAGTCCAGGTGACAGCAACTTGCTGATAACCCATGTGGTGAGCTGGTGGGATTGGAGGGGAGACAGCTGGGGATCGTTTCAAAGATTCCTTGTGCCTTGTTGTGTCCTCCTTAAAAGGAGGACACGCTTTAAGTTATGCTTTTTATGGCATCCTGTGCCCAGCTGGGGACAGTGCTGGGAAGCCACCTGCGCACTCCCAGCCGTGGATCTGGAGCTGAGCAGCTGTGGGTAAAACCACAGCAGCAGGAGATTGGGACCCCATTGCTGGGACAGAAGGGAGAAGGCTGGTTCAGAGGAGGGAAGCAGCTCTCCCAAGGTTAACCACAAAGTCAGATTTGGACCTATACATCTTGGGTTTCAAGGTCTGAGTACTGTCAGCAACATTACCGTTGTCACTTTTCCAAGCACTGGTGAGAAGAAAAGTACTGAAAGACGGAGAATCTTGTAGCAAAAGGGAGCAGAGAGTGGGAGTCATTTATCCAGTGTTGCACTGGGGTACAATGGAAGCAAAGGACTGAGGAAGCATGGGTGGGATCCCTTGAACAGAGAAGTCTAGAGAAAGCTACCTACAGCCAATGGCCCATAAGAAAGAAAGTGGTAGTGGAGCTCCAAGCAGCAGGAGGCTCAGAGGATGCAGGTAGAGATGCTAACAGCTGAACTCCTTTCTCCTTTTCCACTGGGTTGTCTTACTCCTCTCTTGCTGAGGAGCTGAGTACGGAGAGTGAACCTTTAGCGTTTAGAGTCCTTGTCCTCAATTTGCTTTGAAAGGGATGCATGAGGTTCTTTTTGAGAGAGTATGTAGGGCTGGCAATTGCTTCTGATTTTGTTTGAAACATCCTTCTACATATTTTAAGAGTTTGCTGTGATGATGAAGCTTGTGGGGGAAGGTGTGACACATTCAAGGGAAGCCGTGACATGTTCAAAGAATCTGGGTTGTAAGTTTTGATAGGATCCTGAAGCAAGGACATTGCAGTTAACTCCATTGCCAAAACCATGACCTACATTCTGAATTGTAGCATGAGACATAAAAGATACTTGGTATCTTTTACATCCCAGTTACTTATGACCTGCATAGGAAATATGAGGGAAGTCT